TGTGGCTGGCGCCTTAGCCACTTGAGCCACAGGCGCTGAGCCGATTTTTTTTTTTTTAAGACAAGAGTCTCACTATGTTGCCCTCAGTAGAGTGCTATGGCATCACAGCTCACAGTAACCTCAAATTCTTGGGCTTAAGCAATTTTCTTGCCTCAGTCTCCTGAGTAGCTGGGACTATAGGCACCCACCACAATGTCCGGTTATTTTTTGGTTGTAGTTGTCATTGTTGTTTGGCAGGCCCAGGCTGGGTTCAAACCCGCCAGCTCTGGTGTATTTGGCTGACGCCCTAGCCGCTGAGCTATAGGCGCCAACCCAGTCTATTGATTTTTTTTTTTTTTGAGACAGAGTCTCACTATGTCTCCCTCAGTAGAGTGCTGTGGTGTCACAGCTCACAGCAACCTCAAACTCCTGGGCTTAAGTGATTACTCTTGCCTCAGCCTTCCAGTAGCTGGGACTACAGGCACCCAGCCCACCACAGCACCTGGCTATTTCTTGTTGTGGTTGACATTGTTGTTTAGCTGGTAGGTGGCCTGGGCTGGGTTCAAACCCACCAGCCTCAGTGTACATGGCTGGTGCCATAACCACTGTGCTATGGGTGCCAAACCCAGTCTATTGGTTTTTTAAAAATATATTTTCACTGTTTTTCTGTTTTCTGGTTCATTGCCTTCTGCTCTTTATTATTTTCTTCCTTCTACTTCTTTTGGAGTCAAATTGCTCCTCTTCCTCTGGTTTCTAAAGATGGAAATTTATATCATTGGTCTGAGATCTTTCTTTCTCTCTAACATGAGCTATGAATTTTCTTCTAAGTACTGCCTTAGCTGCAACCCATAAATTTTGAAAAGTTATATTTTCATCTTTATTCAATTCAAAATGCTTTTTAATTTCCTTTGTGATTTTCTATTTGACTCTTAGGCAATTTAAAGGTATGTTTTTTCCTAATCTTCCTATTAACTTTTAAATCCATTCTTATCAAAAAATATACTTTGTATAATTTCAATCATTTTAAATTTATTCGTCTGGTTCCAGCATGGTTCACCCCTGTTGTTCTAGCACTTTGGAAGGCTAAGATTGAAGGATTGTTTGAGGTGCCCCACAATGCACTGCTATTTTTAATAGAGATAGGGTCTCGCCCTTGCTCAGGCTAGTCTTCCTGAGCTCAAGAGATCTTCTCGCCTCAGCTTCCCAGAGTGCTAGGTTTACAGGTGTGAGTCCCCGCACCCAGCCTGGAGTCTTGCTTTTATCCAGTTAGTCTGACAATTTCTGTCTTATAATTTCAGTGTTTAGACCCTTTATATTTAGTATAACTATTAATATGCTTAGTTAACTCTACCATCTTAGCATTCGTTTTTTATTCTTTGGGGTTTTTCTTTTCTTTTCTACCTTCTTTTGTTAACTGAGTACTTTCTAGCACTCAATTTATCTTTACTACTGAAAAAACACTTCTTTAGTTTTTTTTGTTTTTCTGGTGTTTGCTCTAGGATATAAAATGTGTATATTTTAATTATCACACTACATCTTCAAACAGTGTTATATCACTTCACATATCATAACAACAATACACTGCCATTTCATCCTTTGTGCTACCATTCTCATATACTTCTCTATATGGTCAAAACCTCACCAAACACTGTTATAATTTTTGCTTCAAATAGTCACTTCTATTTTAAATAAATTATAAAATGAGGGGGAGAAAGTCTTTTATGCTTACCCCATATATGTATGTGACATTTAAAAGATTTTTCATTCTTTTTTATAGAATCACATTCTCATCTGATATTTTTTCTTCATGAATAACTTATTTGTCATAGTACAAATCTATTGACAACAAATACTTCCAACTTTTGTTTGTATAAAAAAAAAACCTTTTATTTTCTTTTCAATTTTGAAGAATATTTTCACTTGTTGCCAAACTGTCTTTTGTTGTTGTTGTTGGCACTTTGAAGGTGCCATTCCATTGTCTCCTGGCTAACATACCTTTGATGACAAGTCTGCAGTGATTCTTGTCTTTTTTTTTTTTTTTT